CATGTGTTAGCTCTACTCCATGCATGTTTTGGCATTGTTTTGACCTGCCTTGGGACTATTTTGAGTCATCTTGGCCCTTTGGGGCTTGCTTGATATGGCTATGGTGCAAGTACCTTAGCTAGTCTTGAGTTTTGAGCACCCAAAATACCTTAGCACGATTTGGATTTCCGAAAGAACATTGTCGTCGGTTGAGGTCAGGATTTTCTTCAAATCGTTTCCTGGATAAGCAAAAATCATAAGGTCTCAAAAATAAAGCTTTATAAATACAACGAAAAATAGACACAAGAAGCTATACAGCCACCTAGTTCGCCCCTCCGTCTAGGAATAGGATCAAGGTGATCCTCGCCTTCGCCGAATTCCCAATTGCCTCGGACAACAACCATAACGTCATCAACTCGCTTTCTAGAGCTGGAAAGCATAGTCACTAGTTGATGGTCAATGTCCTTAGCCCTAAGGAAATAGCGTCCATGCCGACCAGAAGACTTCACCAAGGCGTAACAGTGTCGAATAGCAGGAGTGCCGAGGTTAATCCTAAGGTGACGGTTTAGCTCTATAATCCCCATTACGATTCTAAAAAAATTGACATTGGGTTGAGAGGGGATTAGACCCTAATGGCGAAGGACAGCCCTAAGGAATGAATGAAGCGGGAAACGGATTCCACCATCCGCAATCGATAAAAGAGGGAAAACGATTGTACTTTCATCGTCCCTCTCCATATCGAGAGTGCCGTCTGTCACAAACGACAGACAGACAAACATCATCAGGGATAGAAAATGGCGTCGAAAGCCAGAAATTCGATCCGTAGGAAAAAAGTCTTTTAGATGCTTTGTCATTTCGATCAGCTTATAGGAGTGTGCTAAACTAAGGGCAAAGCAGGAAAAAGGACTCAAAGCAGAGAGAAAGCAGAGAGGAAGGAGACTTATAAGAGATGGAGAAGATAATGGAGGACGAATGGAAGTTGCAGAAAAAAGTCGAAAGGCAGTTCAAAAACTTTAAGCGTCCAAAATGTGCGTGTTCGAAAAGACGACAAGATTTTAAATCATAATAAATGGAGGCGTACGAAGGGGCAGGAAGTTGAAATGATAACCAAGAGGCATGTGCTCTGACAATCGCGTTGAAATGAGGTGAGCCGCCGAATTTCGGCTCTGACCTTTCGAAATTCAAAACCAAACACTACAGCTAACTGTGGTAAGTGAAGTGCTCGGGGGGCAATTGTAGGGGCCGAATATTGGGATTCATGGAGAGGCCGAATAGTTGGACCTAGGTCGAAGCATATATTTCATTCGACCCCATCCTGCAATTTAAATCTTGCCCTATTCGGCCGTATAGCCGATTGAGTAAGGGGCCGAGTGAGAAACGGTTTGCTGCAAACTAAGCCAAATAAATAATTACACGGCAAATTGAAAGTGGGCCCAGTCCCGAGGCTCAAGAAGGAGAGTAATATAAATACAAGATCATCAGTCAGAGGAAGGTATGTGAGAACCATTACGCTTAACTTATAATACAAGTAATCCTGAGTGTAGAGACTAACTTGCCCGTCGGAGTGCTAATTCCGACACCCCCGACCGGAGTGTTTATTCATTTTCAGGTGGTAACCAGAGGATCACGAACATCCCCCAAAATCGAAAGAGTATTTCCAATGTATATCCCCACAACACTACATCCTCAATTGGTACACCAATTGTAACAGTGAACTTGCGGTGTCTAATCCAATATGGATAAAGAATGGCAAACAAGCAACTGAGAAATAAGTTTTGATCTTATCAAGAAAAAATATATATAAAAAGGAGTAAATATAATGTGATGGTCATTGTGATTTAATCATTGATCATAAATTTTCTTGAAAATTGATATTACAGAGTTATGTGATTACTAAGACCAAGCAATCTGATACGGGTATTGTTATTATTCTCTCTTTTTCCTTTGTTTGGTTCATTTAAGAAAAATAAATAAACAAAACTAGAAGTCACAAAGTGAAAATAAAACCACCAATGTCCAATCAAAACATAGCTGTCACTTTTGGTACTTCAAAGAACATCACTACATCTTGCTCTTCTCAAACCATTCTTTAGCTGAAGCCTCGTTCACTGAACCTACTTTAGCAGCAGTCTCTCCCACTGACAATAAGAACTCTACAAAAAAATATTTGAAGAGACCCAACCTACTGAGAATACTAAGAGATAGATCTGTCACCATATCTTCAACCAGCAGGCAAAATTTCCCAAAACCTGTTCAAAACTTCAATGATGCAAACATAGAAGATGTTCTGGCTTTTTCTCTGTTCTACACTGCATCTTCTCACCGAAGAGCTCCTCAAAGATCAAACCACCCACATTAACACATCATTATTCATTCTTCGTCACTGTCACCTCTGTTTTCAGCCACATTCACCTTCTCCATAGCATTGATATCTGGTTCATCTCCTGAATAACAAATAGATGTATCTGAGGATGATCCAACAAATCCCATTTCATGCGGTGTCAGACCATGGGATGATGGGTGAGGAATTGATTGTAAGAAGTTGAAGTAAGCATATTTTACATCGAACTGCATATCATACCCTGCAAGATAACATGTGCGTTAGATTCTTATACTCCTTTTTTTAAGTCAAAGCAAGAAAAAGGAAGAAGCGTCAAATTCGTAATTACAATAGTTCACTGCGATGGTGCATGTCCTCTGCACCAACAACCATGAAAAAAAGGGAGCAACATGTCACAGTTGTCTAAATCCACCAAGCAAATGGGTAATATAAATACAAGATCATCAGTCAGAGGAAGGTATGTGAGAACCATTACGCTTAACTTATAATACAAGTAATCCTGAGTGTAGAGACTAACTTGCCCGTCAGAATGCTAATTCCGACACCCCCGACCGGAGTGTTTATTCATTTTCAGGTGGTAACCAGAGGATCACGAGCATCCCCCAGGATCGAAAGAGTATTTCCAATCTATATCCCCACAACACCACATCCTCAATTGGTACACCAATTGTAAGAGTGAACTTGCGGTGTCTAATCCAATATGGATAAAGAATGGCAAACAAGCAACTGAGAAATAAGTTTTGATCTTATCAAGAAAAAATATATATAAAAAGGAGTAAATATAATGTGATGGTCATTGTGATTTAATCATTGATCATAAATTTTCTTGAAAATTGATATTACAGAGTTATGTGATTACTAAGACCAAGCAATCTGATACGGGTATTGTTATTATTCTCTCTTTTTCCTTTGTTTGGTTCATTTAAGAAAAATAAATAAACAAAACTAGAAGTCACAAAGTGAAAATAAAACCACCAATGTCCAATCAAAACATAGCTGTCACTTTTGGTACTTCAAAGAACATCACTACATCTTGCTCTTCTCAAACCATTCTTTAGCTGGAGCCTCGTTCACTGAACCTACTTTAGCAGCAGTCTCTCCCACTGACAATAAGAACTCTACAAAAAAATATTTGAAGAGACCCAACCTATTGAGAATACTAAGAGAAAGATCTGTCACCATATCTTCAACCAGCAGGCAAAATTCCCCAAAACCTGTTCAAAACTTCAATGATGCAAACATAGAAGATGTTCTGGCTTTTCTCTGTTCTACACTGCATCTTCTCACCGAAGAGCTCCTCAAAGATCAAACCACCCTCATTAACACATCATTATTCATTCTTCGTCACTGTCACCTCTGTTTTCAGCCACATTCACCTTCTCCATAGCATTGATATCTGGTTCATCTCCTGAATAACAAATAGATGTATCTGAGGATGATCCAACAAATCCCATTTCATGCGGTGTCAGACCATGGGATGATGGGTGAGGAATTGATTGTAAGAAGTTGAAGTAAGCATATTTTATATCGAACTGCATATCATACCCTGCAAGATAAAATGCGCTTTAGATTCTTATACTCCTTTTTTTAAGTCGAAGTAAGAAAAAGGAAGAAGCATCAAAGTCATAATTACAATAGTTCACTGCGATAGTGTGTCCTCTGCTGTTTGGACTTTGTCTAACATGATGAAACCACATACTTGGCCTGCATAAACTCCAGCAATTCAGCATCATCTTAACTAATTATCACTAAAAATCTGTTCAGCAATAAGTAGGACATTTTACAATAGGAATAAAAATACAAAAAGCTCATAGGAGGTAATTCCCCACATATTCCAAATTTTTTAAGCCCGGACATTAAGCAGAGATTAAACTTTTTCCCTGACATCCCAAGCATCATATTTCAATATAGTGAGGGGAGGGTCAGGGATATAAATGTACCATTTTGAAAGTGATTCTAAATTTCACAGCAACTTATGATCTAATCTTTTTTGCTGATGATCTATGCATTCAAGCCGATCATCCTATGTAGATTGTGTTGTGTGTGCGCGCGCGCACGGGTACCCAAGGTAATTTGACATTCTTTGGATTAGCTTTGTCATTAGGAACTACCCAAGTAACTCATATGACCCTGGGCAACAAATAACTGGACCAAGAAACAGTTTGGTCCTTCGGACCGAGCCAGGTAACTCGTGTGACTCTTGGGAACAAATATGTGGACCAACACTGTAAGCATCATACTCTTAACAAACCACTGTGGTGGCAACCTAAATTCACTAAAAGTCTAATGCTCTCAAACTTCGGTGGAAGGTTCTTTTGGTGACTCCTCCCGAACTAAAGTTCAGTCAACAATTATTCCTTACTGGCGAACAAGGCATCCAGAAGAGAATCTTCTATCAAAAAACAAAACCTGAAATGGTACTTCACAAAGTATCAAATCACCACATCATGAAAAAAAAAAAATTGATCCTTTCCTAGTCAAGAAAATACTTAAAGAAGCTAGTTCACATGGTTCTAGAAACTATCACTTGCATTTATTGCAATTTCTGGAGGAAAGCTGGAACTACTTGCGACCACTTTTCAAAACTAGGCTACTTAACCCAACATTATTGCTCTTTGACAATTCCAAGCTTGTTAGAATGGCAAATAACCCAAGTACAATTTCAAATGACAGACCAAAATAAAATTAGAATTTCAAATTAAATGACACTCATTGGCAATTGTATCAATGCACCGTAAGAGAAACTGTCAAGGGATGTCCCTTTGGAAATCCCCAACTTATGTATCGTCATGTTGTAAAATTTCAATCCACTGTACCTTCATCCAAAAAGCCTAATTCTTTCTAGAAATCTTCTCAAAAATTTGTTTGGAGACACATTCAATAAATTTATCATCTTTGATTTACAGTATCATTACTAGAGACCAAAGTTCAAACTCGATAGACAAATCCAAATTTCATATAAGCAGTTGAGAACACCCAAAACAACAAAAAGTAGAGTAAAGCTTACAAGTAAAGAATTTCCCCAGCCTTAACCGTGACCTCAAACCGCTTCGGTCCATCAAAATACAGAGGAAATTTTGACATTTCTCTCTCTTTATTCTCCGGTGAAGGGTAAGGATCCACACAGCACCAAGGCACGTACCTCACTGCATCCTCAAGCTCCAATTTGAACTCTCCAGTATCCTGCAAATCATAACCTAAGTCTTACCAACAATGTTCATGAACAAACCAATCCATATACATCCATATATATGTATATATAAGAGCTCTCCAATCATTTACGAATTTTTGCATCAAATTCAAATTTTATAAATAAAGAGCTAAAAGTGAGCTCTAATTATTTCATCGAACTTGTATCAAATCAAATCAAGAAAGATGCAAAATTTTTACCAAATTAAGGATGAATCAAATCCTTCACCAAATTTCCCAACAATCATATTTTTACTCAAAATTGATGAAATTTTAGAGAGAAATGACCTTGTGGTAGGAGTAGTGAGCTGCAGGGTAGTTACGAATGTACATGCGATGAACATCAGTAGGCGGAAGGAGAAGAAAATGCTTCTCTCCGGTGACGACGGCATAGAGATTCTCGTAATGATCTTTGTGGAAGGAAGTCTCAAAGAGGTGGTTTCCAATCCAGAGATTCACAGCCTCAGGGAAGCAACCTAGGGCTTCTGTAGCCCAAGGAATGTGAGATTCGCAATCCTCGGCAAGAGCAGAGTACTCGGATCGAAAGCAATCGTTCTGTTGCTGAGCATGGGCGACGAAATTTGAATCCAAATCGGAAGAATAGATGGATTGGAGAGCGAAAAGGAAGGGCATGGAGGAGATAAAAGCGGAGGCGACGCAGAGGGGAGAGGGAGTCGGCGCGGCCGGTGGGGGTGAGGTGGAGGGAGACGGTGGCGGAAGAGAGGGAGCGGAGGAGGTGGGCGTCGGAGGAGGACCAGAGGGAGGTGGCGGGCCAGTGGAGGGTGGCGTTGGAGATGAGGCAGGGTTTGTTTGGGGAGACGAAGTGGCGGAGGAATTGGAGTGGGGTTGGTGGTGAGTGGAGGCGTTCTACTCCGGTGGTGGCGGTTCCTAGGCTTAGGTCTCTTACTTCTTCCCAAAGCTTTTCAATCTTTCTTTCATGGTGTCTGCTACCATTATCACAGTGCTGCTTACTCTACTGCTTCATTAGCTCAAGAACAGAAATCTACGGAACTTTGTACTACAATTCTTGAACTATAGTATTTTCTTCTAGCAATCATATCAGGATTCATGCAGGTGCTAATTCCAATCAAAAGGATTCTCTCCTCTCTCCGCTCACATTCTGCACATAACTCAATTGAATTTTCCTGCACCCTTCTATTCAATTATAAAATTAAAAAAAAAATCAAATCAATCTAAAATTATTTTTAAAACTCAAACCAAACCAAATCAAGCCTTAAATCCTATCAAATAGAGTCGGCTACATAAATTTTTCTTCTTCACGAGACTCTATCAAAAGCCATTTCGTTAGTCAAATTAAGGGGTTGTTTGAGATGACTTAAATAAGTGTACTTTTTGTCTTTTAATGAAAAAATGTGCAAAAAAGTAAAGAGATGATGTGATGGAAAAAAGATTAAAAAATGGATTATTTTTGGGTTGTCAAACTTGGCCTAAGTATATTCATATCTTTATTTACAATGCTAGCCAACGTTAATCTAGGTCTGTCGGGTCCCCTAACACTTCCATCTACTGTCACTGCATCGCATCTCTTCACTACTGCCTTTGTTGGTCTTTGTTAAATATGACTAAATCATCTCAATCAATTCGCTCTCAACTTATCTTCTATCGGTGTTAAATGTTAATCCTACTCATTCCCGAATACACTCGTTCATAATTCTGTCTTATCTAGTCTTACCACACATCTACCTTAACATCATCATCTCAACCACACTCATCTTATTTACATGTTATTTCTTGGTTGTCCAACACTTCGTCCCATACAATATCACTGGTCTAATAGCCGTTCTATAGAACTTACCTTTTAATTTAACAAAGAATAAAGCAAATTGTTTTCATTTTTTTTTTTATTCTCAAAATTGAAAAATGAAAACTCATGCAAATATATATATATATATATATATTATATTTGACAAATTATTTCTAAAAGTAAGAAAAAAAAATTATTTCTTCAAAAACAATTTTCACACAAATAAAAACCATAATTGTTTTTGAACTTTTCATTGTTTTCATTTCTAAAGGCATGAAAAAAAGAAAAGAAAAAAAAAAGGAAGAACATAAACTAAAATAAAATTAAAAAAAAATGACAAAGATAATAATATACTTTCACAAAGTGGACATGAATTCGATCAAGTTCAAGTGTATAATCCAAAATTTGCTCTGCTTTTCTTACTAGTTTTTGTTGTATTATTTCAGATTGGTCAAATCTACTTGTTTTTCATCATTCAAAATCTGCCTAAGCAAAATCACGGCTATAGACCATAAAAGCATTACCAATCTAAAGCAGGTTTTGTCGAGAAAGAGGACCATGCAATGACATGCTTAAGTCGAGAAGGGCAAATAGTGAAAACTGATGATATAGTTACTACACAACGGGTCTCAGATGGAATGGGTCGGACTAATTCACGCTTCTTCAACCAGTAACTGGGTGTTCAAGCCCACCAAAAAACCTGCACACAAGTTCAACAGGGGAACGAGAAGTCCCCCAGCGAACCCTCCGACGAGCAAGTTAGAGAGAGAGAGAAGTGTAATGTAGAGATATGAATTGGAGATAGAAAAACTTAACCTTCTTCTTGCCTTCAATGTTTGCTTATATTCTTTGGTCATCATTTCGCTGTCCCTTCCGACCTGGCGTCTTGGCCGAAAGTCTATGTGGTACCTTACCTTGTTCAGGGTAAGGGGGTGTTGTTCCGACGGAGAGGTGTTGTCGTAATAAATGTTGTGATGGGCCGCATTAATGGTGATGTGCAGTGGCAATAACTTTGCAGATCTTTGTCTGCTGATGTGGCTTGTCCTTTACCTGCCGTATGTCTGAATGTCATTGGCTCTTTATGCCACGTTGGATTCCAGCTGTTCTGGACTTCACCAGTTGGGTTATGTATTGAGCTCCAAGTGATGGGCTTGGGTTGTTCATAATGGGCTATGGCTTTTATGGGCTTATCCACGTCAGTAGTCCTCCATTTTCGAGTGTAGCTTTAGTCCAACGAATGGAATACTAATGAAGAGAATGAGGGTGTTAGAGATTGGCAGGATGGAGGTCGACCGACAAGGGTGACCGAGTGGGTGGACCGACCGCGAGAAGGGCCGACCGCGAAGGTTGGCCGAGTGGGAGGGCCGACCACGAAGGTTGGCCGAGTGGAAGGGCTGACCATGAGGAGGGCCGACCACGAAGGGTAAGGTGAAGGGGCACGGGGTTCAAGAGGCGGCGTGTCACGTGGTGATTTGAAGTGGAAAAGATAAGGTAAGGGGAGGAGACAGTGGATCGTGGTCGTACACGTGGCAACATCTCGTGAGGGGGAGATTAGGCATTGGATCAGAAATGAGACGATAGGTCATTATGGGTATTGAAAAGACACTTTTGGCGGATGTTTTGAAAAGTTTTCAAACTAGCTCAAATTAATTGCGACCCTTGGAATACGGGCAAGCCTTGGGCTTTTGGCATTATTCGATTTACCTTCTTTGCGAAAAATCAAAACATCCCAAATGTTAACTCCTTTGTTGTTGACGATACACCTCTGCAACATTTTTTCAATTTCTTTGCACCTGCATTCGAAGCGATTCACAGACATACCGTAGAAATGGCCCAAGAAGAATCTGTGAATGTCAAGGTAGATCAGCTTGGTGATGACGACGCAGTGGAGTTAGCAGAGCAGTATAGGACGGAGAGGCAAATAGAGAGGGTGGGGGAACCGGTGGTACAATCTCATGCTTCCACCATGATAGCAGCTCCGAAGCCAATCAGCCAGGCGGAACCAGATCACTGGCACGCGAAGGCTGACAAATCAACGATTACAGCGGCGGAGTTGGAGGCTATTCGCGAAAAATACCAGGTGCCTGCTAAAATAGAATTATTCTTGCCGACGTCAACAAAAAGGCCATCCGACGCAAGGCCGGGGGAGTTTGCCCTTTACGAGAAAGCATTGAACGGAGGACTGAGGCTGTCACTGCCGCAAGTGGTGGTAGATGTCCTAAACCGTTTGGAGGTGGCACCGGGCCAACCAATGCCCAACGCGTGGAAGATTGTACTGGCCTGTGCAAGCGCGTAGCCGAAGGCGAACGAAGGGGCGGCCATGACAGTAGACGAATTCTTCACATGTTATAAGGCCTCAGGACAACAAGAGACTTGGGTGACGTTGCAGGCGCCGGCAGGGAGGGGTCTGGTAGCGGGGCTGCCGTCATCAATTAAAGGTTGGAGGCCGCGGTGGTTTCATGTGTCTGCGAACGGAGGGGCTAGGGTGCGCACGGTGTGGAGAGTGCCCACCAAATCTGTAGAGCCAAAACTGGGAGCAGCGACAGAGGAGAGAATAAAGAAGGTGAAGGCATGGCGGGAGAAGGAGGGGGTCAGGTGGGAGGAACTCGTTCAACCCTCAGCCTTGTTTGGAGCGGGGCTGGGTCCTCAGCCGAGCGGTAGAGATCTAGGGCGAGCTGAATTAGAGGCGAGGAGGAAAGCACAAGAGGCTGAGGATATGGCCATCATCGCCAAAGCCAGTAAGTTCAAAGAGTCCCAAGAAGACCGACCGCCAAAGCCGATTGCGAGGGAGAGGATCCGACCTCGCCCCAAACCCTTGGGGGAAAAAGACTTAGGTGGATTTGTACCCCGACCGCCCTCAGCAGATCCGTTGAAGGAGAGGGCTTTGAAGGAGATAGAGGTGGAGGGTGTGGTAAAGAAGAAGAGGAGGGTGAGGAAGAGTGAAGAAGAGCCTGCCGTGAAGAGGATGAGGGAAGTGATGGCAGAAGAGACCAGCATGGCCAAGGAGGCAGAAAAGAGGGGGAATGGAGGAGACCCCATGAGGGGTGGTCGTCCCAAAAGTGGTGGAGATCGCCTCGGAGAGAGTGGAGGTCGTCTCAATAATGGTGGAGATCACCTCAGAGGTGGCAAGGGTCGCCCTTGAAGTGCAAGTAGAGGGTGGGGCAACTGGCCCTGAGCCAAGGGGAGGAGAACAGCCCCAAAGGGGTCCTGCGCCCCAAGGAGGGGGTGTCAGGCTGACGACCGGGATCTACCACGCTCGCGTAGTGGCTGGGCAGCTGGAGGGAGAAGAAGGCCCAGCCAGGGCAGGTGCAGATCGCCTTGTGGGGATCGTGGATGAGGCAGCCGTGCGCTCAGTAGCCAGATTCAATAAGGCTGAGTTGCTGAGGGGGTTATGCTCTGCTCAAATTGAGGTAACCACCTTAGCAGGAGCTCTGCTGAGAAAGGTGGCGGCTGCAAAGATGAGGGCAGACGAGGCCAAGGCTCAACTTGCGAGTTTGAAGGCAGAGCGTGCAGGCTAGGAGAGTGCCCATGCTGAGCTACGAGCGGTCAAGTTGGAGTTGGAGAACGAACGCCGCCAGGTTGTGTCGCTCGAGTTCCAACTGCTAGGCGAGCAGAAAAAGCTGGGGGATGCTCAAAAAGACTGCGCGGTCGCCATCGAACGATTTGAAGAGGCTATGACCAGCAATGAAAATCTGCGTACCCAGCAGATCAAGGAAAAAGAAGACGCAGACCAGGAGATTGATGAGCTGTAGAAGGAGCTGGAAGATGAGCGTGTTAAGGCAATGGAGGGGAGGGAGGCCCTGCAGAAGGAGTTGCAGGAAGAGAGGGCCAAGGCGATTGCTGAAAAGGCGACCCTGCAAAAGGAGTTGGAGGAGGAGAGGGCTAGGGCAGCCTCTGAAAGGCGGCATACCCCGATCTGTGTGTTGCAGAAGTGGATCAGTTCAAGGGGTCTGCTAAATTTCAGATGGCTGTTGATGCCGCGGTCGCCAGCAGCTTGACGAGGGAGGAGTCTGGGGGGGCGGCCCCATCGAGGACGACCGCTGAAGGCAGGACTGAGGCATAAATTATTGAGAGCTTCCAGCGGTCCGACTTCTATAAACATGAAATAGCTGAGTTCTAGGACAGTGGTTGGAAGATGTTCAAGCGTAAAGCTGAGGAGCTGTTCCCAAACTTAGACCTGAGTAGTGTAAAAATTGACGACGACGATGTGGCCCAGACCCCCCTGGATGAGGGTACTGAAGAAGAAGATCTCGTGTCCAGTGAGGAGGAGTAATTGAAGAAGAAAAAGAAGAAGACCCTGTACTTAGAGTTGTTTTTGTGTTTGTTTTTGTTTTTGAATTACTGTAATGAACTTATGTACAAATTTGTGAGTAAATAAAATTTCAGTTGTGTTTTCATTCGATTATCTGTGCTTATGCATCCGAAATGAATTAGAATGGTGGCTTGTGTACATCTGCAAAGTGGAGGTAAAGTTGTAATAAAAACTAAATTTAAGAACTCAATGTAGAGTGGAAGTGAATCTGTAATAAAAACTTAATGCAGAGTAAAGTTAAAGGCTCCTCAATGCAAAGTGAAATTGAACTTGTAATAAAAACTCAGTGCAGAGTAAAGTTAAGAACTCTTGAATGCAGAGTGGAATTTAAAATGTGATAAAATTATGAGTTTGTGTTTGCCACACTGCTGAAGTGGATGAGAATGGTTTATTGGAGTTAGGCTTGACTAGTAAGGAAAGAGGTTGACTTGTAAAAGTTGATGGAGAAGGAAATAATCTGACTAGTAGAGGAAACATGTACGAACGTCGTTGGAATTTGACTAAGTGAAAAGTGGTGTAAAAACTTGAACCTGGAATTGTGACTAAGTGTGTCTACTAATGCCACAAGTATGCGTGCTCAGTTGGGGCTAAGCTGTGATTTACTGACGTTGCAAGTAACTCAGTTTGGACTTGGAATTGTGGCGCTCAGTTTGGCTGAGACTTGTTATGCTTGGTCTGGCTGAGGCTTGGTCTGGCCGAGTGCTTCATGCTCAGTCTGACTGAGGCTTTTAAAGCTCAGGCTGGCTGAGGCTTTTGGTGCTCAGTCTTGCTGAGGCTTTTGGTGCTCAGTCTAGCTGAGGCTGCTGGCGCTTGGTGCTCAGTCTGGCTGAGGCTGTTGGCGCTCGGTCTAGCCGAGGCTTTTGGTGCTCAGTCTGGCTGAGGCTGTTGGCGCTCGGTCCGGCCGAGGATTTTGGTGCTCAGTCTGGCTGAGGTTGTTGGCGCTCGGTTTGGCCGAGGCTTTTGGTGCTCAGTCTGTCTGAGGCTTTTTGTGCTCAGTCTGGCTAAGGTTGTTGGCGCTCGGTCTGGCCGAGGCTTTTGGTGCTCAGTCTGGCTGAGGCTGTTGGTGCTCGGTCCGGCCGAGGCTTTTGGTGCTCAGTCTGGCTGAGGCTGTTGGCGCTCGGTCTGGCCGAGGCTTTTGGTGCTCAGTCTGTCTAAGGCTTTTTGTGCTCAGTCTGGCTGAGACTTCTGGTGCTCAGTCTGGCTGAGGCTTTTTAAGAAGTGCTGCAACAAAAATGTTAATGAGACAACACACAGATAGCTAAGATATAAAATTGTTGTCATGGAAAGTGCGATCCAGTTGATCAAAATTTACATTATGCCAGGGGAGAACAAGTATGTTCATGTGTGTAAAAAGAAAATACAATAACTGAGCAATAAACAGGTAGGAGTTTATTGAAAGTAGCGCTTCAAGTGTTCAGCGTTCTATAGGTGGGGGAGGTCTCGACCTTCTATGTCCTGAAGTCGGTAAGTGCCCGGACGTGGTCGAGCTTTCACAACGTAAGGTCCCTCCCATTTGGCTGCCAGTTTTCCCTCAGTCGGATTTTTGGTGGCAAGAGTTACTTCTCTCAAGACAAGGTCCCCTACAGTGAACTCCCTTGGTCGGACTTTGCGGTTGTAGTGTGTTCTCATTTTCTGTTGGTATGAGGCCAATCTGACAGCGGTGGTCTCTCTGAGCTCTTCGATTAGGTATTGGTCTGCCTGTCGGAGTTCTTCGGTTAGTTCTGGATCTGGATGTAAAACCTTGGGGTAAGCAGACCGACTTCCACTGGAATAACCGCCTCAGCGTCGTATGTTAAGCGGAAAGGGGTTTCCCCAGTGGGAGTCCGAGCTGTAGTTCGGTAAGCCCAGAGTACGTTCGGTAATTCCTTAGCCCAAAGTCCCTTAGCAGCTTCTAGCTTAGTTTTGATAATCTTTAGAAGAGAACGGTTGGTGACCTCAACTTGGCCGTTGGCTTGGGGATGACTTGGGGAGGAGAAACAGGGTTAGATCTGAAGGTCTGCACAGAACTTCCTGTACTTGGCATTGTCGAATTGTTTGCCGTTGTCGGAGACGATGGCTTGAAGGATGCCCAACCTGTATACGATCGACTGCCAGATGAATTTGGTTGTGTTCCGTTCGGTAATGGTGGCGAGGGGTTCTGCTTCTACCCACTTGGTGAAGTAATCAATGGTGACAATCGCGAACTTGGTCTGGCCTCGACCGGTGGGAAGTGGACCAACTAAATCGATCCCCCATTTGGCAAACGGATGAGGACTGCAAAGTGTGATCAACTCGGTAGGAGGAGCATGGGAGATGTTGGCGAAGCATTGACATTTATCACATTTGAGCACGAAGTCGGTCGCATCTTGGTTGAGGGTAGGCCAGAAATATCCAGTGCGAACTATTTTGTGGGCTAGGGACCGGCCGCCTGAATAATTACCGCAGATACCCTCATGGATTTCTCGCATCACATAGGTTGCTTGAGCTGGACTGAGGCATCGCAGATACGGGCGTGAAAAACCACGTTT